TCTCTGCTTAGTTACTGCAGGGTCAAGTCTTATTTCAGGTTCTTCAAATATGCTGCGTGCAGCTTGTGAAGCATGTAGGGCTATTTGGTTGCTGATAGATGCATCCGAAAAGATTTCTACAAAAAGAAATGCCTATTCATTTCCCCTAACCACTTTGCGCAGTCCTTCACTCCAATTTGACATTAGGGATCAAGGTCAAAGTTCATTAATTGACACAGAATCCGCAAAACTTGTTGCTGCAGTGACTAGAGCATTCCTTAGATCAGAAGCAGTACAGGTTGCTATCCATTATTGCCTTCATCAACGACTTGAGGCTTCACTGTATGCTAGCATTCAGGTGTTTCTCTCATCCTAACCATGTTAAGAAAATTTCTCTGCCCATGTAAACAGCCATTTATGTGTAGTCTTTCAAAATTGTAAATAATGAGATGTCAATTATCTTGGAAAATTTTACCATAAGTTTTCAATTACCATTTGTGCCCACATCTCCATAATTTGACATAAAGGACTGCAATTTTTCTTCCATGTTTCAGCTGTTGTTGAGGTGCTGCTTGCATAATGGAAGTGTTCCCGGTATGCTCTGTGGCCTGCCTAGTTCCCTACCTGTAACTACTGTTGTCAGTGGTGGGGGTGATGGAACCATTATTTCAGAGATATTCTCTTTGTTGTCTTTGTGCATTTCATCTCAAAATAAAGATCCACAAGCAATGGAGACAACCAACTTCAAGTGCAAATTAACCAATCCCACTACCTTCGTTCTGCATTCATGCCTCATCCTTGCAATAATTGCACAATGTTTGAAGGCCACTGGTAGAAATTCTGCATTATTTATGTTGACAACCTCCCCAAAGAAGCAGCTTTCTCGACTTTCAGTCCTTGCTCATCATTTTTCTTCTGATGAGACCACAAACACTTCCTTTCAAACTCATACTGCATCAGCCATGCTGGCACTGGCTTCCATATTGTCGCTTGAATCTGGAGCTTCTGTTGGCTCATCTGTCTCCGAGGTAGCAGTGCCTTTGATTCCTCAAAGTACCACACTATGTGAATACCTCAAACTTTCATCAGACAATGGAATTGAATTGGGTCCTAATGACACCAATGGTGGTCTCTCATACTGGCATGGTCTTAGGGATGGATGTGTTGGCTTGCTGGAGTCCAGACTGAGGTGGGGAGGACCCTTATCCATAAAACAGCTGTGTGCAAGCAATATACCTCTGCTTCTAGTCAGTTTGTTAGCCAAAAACCAACAAAATGTATATCGACAAGAAGTTGACAGCACAAATGATCAAGTTGGGCTTTCCCCTATAGGAGTTGTGTGGACAATATCGTCAATATGTCACTGTCTCTCAGGTGGAGCCTTAACTTTTCGTCAGGTTCTGCTCAGAAGTGATCACATCAAGAACATCTCTGACTTGATATCTGATATGCATCTCAAGCTTGTAAAGTCCTGGGTTGGGCCTGGTGGAGGGAAGGATGGTGTGAGAGATATAATAAATACAGTAATTGATCTCTTGGCATTTCCTTTTGTGGCCATACAGAATGCTCCAGGATTTCCATCAGCCACAGCTTCAGTGAACAGCGGGGCCATTCTCAACATGGGTTCACCAGGTGTGAGAGTTGGCATGGAAGACAAAGACATGGTGAAAGTAATTGAGGAAGACATGGGAAAGTATATTAAAAACCTTTTGGAGGTTAGGTCTTCTTTCCTTTGTTTTCCTCTTTGTGGGCCCAGTGGCAGGGTTCGTTTAGATTCTTTTCCCAGGATGGTGTTGTGAGATACTTGACATTATCGTTTGGAGGATACACAGCATATAGCTCATTATTTTATTAGATATGCAGATTGAGTTAATTTGCTGAATCTTGATACCATCATGAACTCAGGTGATTATATGTTTCTCATTCAATTGCTTCTGAAGTTTTCAGGTAAGAGTGCCAGGCATCATTCTTCGATGTTTAGAGCATCTGGAGTTAAAGGATACAGGAAGGCCTGTGGCCTTTCTTGCTAAAATGATTGGTCGCCAACCATTGGCACTTCAACTTGTGCGTAAAGAAGGCTTGTTGGAGCCTACTAGAATGAGAAGATTGCTCGATTGTTCAAGCCCAAAAGAAGTGGTGCTGGATGTTCTGATGATTGTTTCTGATTTGGCTCGCAAGGATGAGGTCAGATTTGGTTTTGATTGAATAATCGTTGCTGCATGAAACATCCTGGGTCAACATATGTTCTCCTTTCCTTTTTACTATAAAATGTCCGAGCTATGGAAGGAACATCGTATTGTTTAGGGGAATCCTTGTCTTCTAGGTAATACCAAACAATATTGACGTCAGATCTTGTTGGATTCTTGTCTTCCAGATATTTCCCCTTAATTCCTCAAATATTTAAGCACAATAGTCAGATTTCAGTGGTCTTTTTTTCTCGTCTATGTGGTATTGCATCCTCAGTAATTTAATTTTTTTTTATTAATACCATTTTAATTTCTCTCAAATTTTACGACATATTTCGGGGACCTGTATTGTGATTAGACATCTCCAAACCCAATTTCATATACTTTTTGAGAATGGGTATCTAATAGTCACTTGATTTTGTTTTGTCCCGTATTTGACAGTCTGATAAACAAACCATTAAATGGAAGAAGAGTAATGCATAAAACAGTTCTTGTTTTCTTATTATTTCTTACTTTTGGTGTTTAGGGATTATACGGATGTATTAACGGAGCTTCTGTACTGGAGTTCTTCAAGGAATTTCTTACCCATGAAGATCCCAATGTGCGGTCAAAGGCTTGCAGTGCTCTGGGGAATATGTGCCGGCACAGCTCCTACTTTTATAGTGCCCTAGTAAGTAGTGAACAATATATTGTTTTAAGGTTCTGTCAATCTATACATATGAAGGAGGTTGTATTGCTATTTTGGTATCTTACAACAGAATATGATGATATAGGCAAGGCATCAAATTATTGGCCTCCTTGTTGATCGATGCTCTGATCCAGACAAACGGACACGAAAATTTGCTTGCTTTGCTGTAAGTTCTCTTGCCATGCAATATTGCTTTCAGCTGTCTGTTGCAAGCCTATTCTTTTTCACCATGCTATTAAGAAAATGTGTCGACCTTAATTGTTTAACTCGGTTTCTTCCACAATAAACAAAATTATGTAACTTTGGTTTTTGGGCTGAAAACATATGTAGAGTCAGTCCCAAAGAAATAGAAAGAAACACATGCGGCCTTGCAGATATGCAGGTACTTATCTCTCTCTCTGTGCAGATTGGGAATGCTGCCTACCATAGTGACATGTTATATGATGAGCTACGAAGATCTATACCCCATCTTGCCAAATTTATGGTTTCAACCGAAGAAGACAAGACTAAAGCAAATGCTGCAGCTGCACTAAGCAATCTTGTCCGCAACTCCGACAAACTTTGTGAAGATATTGTATCTAAGGGAGCCATGCAGGTTTGTGGCCTTGATGCCCTTCTGTTTTAGATAATTTAAGTATCCATGATTTTGGAAATTGAATCACTTTGCAATGAAATTCACTTGTGAGGTGTTTATATACGTTGCAGTCTTTACTGAAGTTGGTGGCGGACTGTTCAGTGGTAGCACTGAACCCAGGTAGGAAAGATTCGGTAAATGAGTCACCTCTAAAAATAGCTCTCCTTTCATTGGCAAAGATATGTTCGCATCCGCCCTGCAGACAATTCCTCCGCTCATCAGAGTTGTTCTCAGTGATTGGACGGCTTCGGCAATCTCCAGAATCAAGAATCGCCAATTACGCCACTGACATTATCACCAAAGTTGCTGATTCCTGATCCTCAAGCACCAAAGCAAAGTTATTAGTTACCGTCAACGATACAACTACCATAAGCTTCGTTACCACTGATCAGCTGTGGCCATCACAGGCAAGAAAGTTTGCAGATTATGGGTTATGATGCTAAATTACCAACACCTGTCGTCATCATTATCATTCAAGAATATTGAAGTGGATTCTGTTTAAATGTCTGTGGCACTGTTCATATTGAACCCCTTGACTTGAGGGTTAGGAGCTGGAATTGTGAGAGAAACTCTCATGCAACCACCGTTAGTGGTAACGAAGCTTATGGGAGTTGTATCTTTCAACTTCTCTCATGTGATCTCTTCGAATTTTCTCCTCCCTTCTCCCATCTTGTTCATAATTTATGGGTTTTATTGTTCATTAATACCACCCTTTCGGACATGTCTTTTCTTTTCTACATCACACTTACAAGAATAGACTTAGACAAACAAGTGGGGTGGGGCGAGTTAAAATATTAGCTTCGTAAATTGAAAAATTATATTGAAGGGCATGTGATCAAAATTTAACGAAATTTGGAGGAATTTGACAAAAATTAAAGAGTCCTCAAATTGCCCTGAATTGAAAACTACAATGCTAAAATTGAAACTACGAAGACCAAAGTGGTAAAACCGACAAGCTACATAGACCAACAGTAAACTTTTTTGTCTTGAATTTTTGTATTAATATTTACATAGATGGACCTAGCTAGAAACTTTTTCTTTTCTTTTTATAATTTAATCAATTGGGATGTGGACTTAGAACTTAGACGCTTTAGTTTTGAGTTTCAAATATACCTTAAATTCTGTATGGTTGAACTCCTAAATCTGCCCAACTTTACGACACAGCTCTTTTTCAGATTACCCACATCAAGATAGATTAACCTACATGAGAAAAAGGACTTGTATATTATCCCCAACTAATTACGTTTCACCAAGTGATATATAAGTTTTTCTCCATTCATTCGTAGACAACAAATTATCACCATTGGCTACACTTGAAAAGTCTAATCTTACAGCATAAGTAGATGAACTTCTACTGGACTGTGGTGGTGACAGTTGAGAATTTCAACTAACAAAAGACAAAGTATGAATCCGTACACCCCCTCATTTTCCTTCCTAACACTCTACCCCACATAGGCTTCCATACAAAGCAGCATCAACCTCTTTGCGTATTTCAAAGCCAAGCTATAGCTATTTCCTTGTTCACCCAAAAATCTCATTGTAGAATCCATGGCCAATACAAAGAGACTCTGCACCCTTGTGTTAAGGCTCATGGCTGTGGCTGCTACCCTTTCGGCCGCCGTTGTCATGGCTACAAGCCATGAGAGATCCAACGTCCTTGGATTATCTTTTGAAGCAAAGTATAACCATACACCAGCCTTCAGGTATAAGTTATTCCTAATTATCTCTTCTTTGTTTTCTTTTCTGGGGTTATAGACTCGCATAATTGCACATTTTCTTCAGATATGTGTCTATGCCTGTTGCTGATAGCTTTATCTTTTATAGGTACTTTGTAATTGCAAATGCTATCGTAACCGTATACGGGTTTCTGGTCCTTTTTCTTCCTTCTAAGAGTCAGCTATGGAGACTAGTCGTGGCCTTGGATATGGTAAATATGATCTTATATATAACATTTCTTTAGAAATGTTTCTGTTTTGATTTATATGATCTTTTTGGTGAAAGGAGTTGGCAAAGGACTTATAAACTAAGCTGCAGTTAATTTGTTTGAATCATCAGGTGCTCACCATGTTACTCACCTCAGGCATTTCAGCAGCTTTGGCTATTGGCAGTGTGGGCAGGCATGGAAATTCATATGCAGGCTGGCTGCCCATTTGTGGCCAAGTCCCCAAATACTGTGACCAAGTGAAGGGAGCTCTGATCGCAAGCTTTGTTGGCCTATTAATATATGCCGTGCTGCTTCTTTATGCCATCCACAATGTCCTAGATCCTCTCTTGTTGCATAAAACTTAGGTTCTGATCAAGGGGTCAAGATCTCACTCAATTGTATCCCCTTTCTCAATGAGTTATAGAAGATAGAGAGACAGCAAAATAAGTAGCCTGTACCATTACTAATTGATCATCATGTGCACACATCAGGATTGAAATACACATTTTTCATGTGGAACATGTTTTGACTATTGGGCTATAAGTTAACTCATTTACTCATATATTAATCTAGACAGAACAATATCATAATTTCCCTTTGGATTAACTCCATGGTACTTTCCGCATAAAAAAAAAAAACTCCATTGTATTTTCCTGAACCTTTCAAAATTAAAAGTTTTTAGCAAATTGCAGTTGTGAGCTAGGCCAGTTCGTCAAAATGGTGTGTTTGCCCCATTTGTATCCGAATCCGAATCCCCCTCCCATAAATTAAAGTAATTTCAAACATCACTTTTAAAAAAGCGATGAAGTTTTTAGCAAATAATTCACAATATTAAAATGAGTAGAGAGTATATAGTTGCATTTTTACAACTTTAGATCTATGACCTTAGTCATGTTGGGTGTACCTAATCTTTAGGTTTTTCTAAAAGTAACATCAGACAGAGGAATAGGGGCACAAGAAAAAGTCAAAAAGCCCGGGAAGGAACATACATAGGTTGACAAATGCCAAAACCAAGCGAAAATAAAAGCAAGTTACATAAGACTAACGGTAAGAGATGGCAAAGCATTTGCCTCACCAACTAATTAAAACGAGAAACCATTACAACAGTCCTTAAACTATCGAAGTTTTATGACAATAAAGGTTGGAAAAATTATCTACCAATTGCCAAATTTTATTGAAAAAAGTCCGAGTTAGAATTCTCCCCTTTGATAATTAAAAAAACAGTCAAAATATTACAATTAATTAAAATATGTTTGAAGCTGTTGGAAACAACATAATTACGTAATATTCATGGACCTGGATTCGATGTTCTAAAGTTAGGTTATACCCAATGAGGCTTTATTTGGGGCTCAACCATCACAAGACTCCTATAAATACAAACTCTCTTTAAAAAGGCATTCTCAATAGTGCAAATTTGGGGCTCTAAAATTTGAAGCCCAACTGAAGTAGTAGTTGCTTGGTTGAAGCCTTTGAAACCAAGTGGGTCTCACAAATTAAAAAAAAAGCTGAGTAAATTTAGGTTTTAGCAAAAAAAAAAATTTCACTTTTGGAAAAAGCCAAAGCTTTAAAAAAAAAAAAAAAAAAAACCTCTCAACTTTCAAATCAAAGACATGCAAATATAAAGGATTCCTAAGGAAATCCAAAAATAAATAAGGGCAATTTTGTTCATTTTGACTTCTTTTAATTTTTTTTTTCTCCTTTGTGTTTTTCCAAAGTCTCTCTCAAAAAGCTGTAGCCCACCTTTTTCGGTCTCTCACTTGCCTTGCCATTTATTTGTTTTGTCAACAACATGCTTACTCAGCATGCTAAACCAAAATGTTGTGCATCTTGTTTTAATTTAACCATGTTGTATCGTATCTATGAAATAAAATGTTGATTTCCAAATCTTATCCAAATTTTAATTTTTTGTTGTTGAAATGTTCACCAAAAAAAAATAAAAAATCCTAACATACCATGAACAAACATTAAAGTTAAATAGTTAACCAAAAAAAATAAGCCACATAAATCAAATTATATTATAAAAAAAAATATAGAGCCCGCCATGAATATAGGGTCTCCCATTATAGGAGATATTCCTTTAGAGTCTCAAATATTCCATCAGAGCTCTAAATGAGGCTCTATAAACCCTTTTTAGGCCATCACCAACCCAAGGATTCAAACCCAAAATATTGCCCAAAACCTCTTCCAACCCAAGAAAATGAAGGACTCAAAATTTGAGAAAACCTAAATATGGGTCCAAGTATTGCCTGGACCCAACACTATTTAATGGAGCCCACTGCACATCTCAAACAACCCATGTGCAAAGATTCTGACGTAAGGCCCACCTCCAAATTTGCAGCTTGCTTTTTGTCTTCTCTTTGCGCCACTTGTCGCTATCTCATGGAGTTGTCATTGGAATCCAACGGTTTCAAATGTTGTTTTTTTTTTTTTTTAAATGTACATTTAACTTAAATCAACGATGAGGATTAAATCTATGCTATTTTAATGGTGTTTTGGCCTAATTTGGCACACCCAATATAAGGAAATAGAAGCCCATCTTGGTTCTTAGCAGCCACCAACATTTCTTTGAAATTGGCCCAAGAATACACATTCAGCTCAAAACATTGAAGGCTCCAGTCCAGGATCTACCCGGAAGATGAAAACTTGGGCTTCGAAAAAAAGGAAATCACCCTATAGCCTCAAACTAGGCCCGGCATAAATAAACCCAGAAATCAAAGACAGACCCACGAGACTAAATCTGAACCAAAATTTTGAATTGTCAACAAATTCAACTGGGTTGATAGGGAGTTAATAAAAAACATGCAAAACAGGAAAAGACCTCTCTAAATCTCTGCCATCAGAAAATCAAATCCCTACTTTATATGTATAATATATTCAGAGATATTTCTTCTACTCCAAAAAGGGTGATTCTTCCAAAGAGATAAGCAGGTCATATTTTCAAAAGGAGATAAGCAGGAGGACAGGGAGCTGTTCAAAATTGAAAATCAAAATAGCCATCACGGTTTGAGCTCTCACAAAGGGGGCAGTTGGAATTAAAGAAAGGTTAGGTTTTTCTTTCAAGAAAAACAGGGAAGTGATCTTAAGAACTAACTGTTGAGAGTTTACCTGCCAGAATCGATAAAAACCCCCTTTCTTTGCATCTAAAAAAATAAAAGATCTTTTTAGGAAATTGCCACCCATTATTTAAAAGAAAGAAACCCTACTCTAAAGCATTTTCTATAAATACAAGAGGGAGTGAACAGGATAACACACACAATTCATCAATCAAACAAACAACAAGAAATCAACCAAAAGCTCACTCGAACTCCAAGAGAAACCAGCTTTAGATCAAAATTCTCAAAGTTCAGACTTAGAAAATAAGTCATTTAAAATGAGATCTCTCTCGTTACAAATTTGGTTCAGCAAAAGCCAAGACAAGCAGAGTTTGTGTAACATCCCGACTCTATTTAATTTTCCAATTCAAAAGGTTAAAACTAAATTAACTGTGAAATTACGAAACTACCCTTGGGGTAGGGTATTTCGGTCATTTTCTTGTCCGGAAGGATTTTGGGACCACAAGTAGTTTGGTTGCGTAGGTGGTTCTGAGATGAATTCGTGGACAGGCGGTAGGCTTAAATCGGAGTTATAACGAAGTTTTGGAGATCAAATTTCTTTCGGTGGCAAAATCGTAAATAATTCGAAAAGGGTATTTGTAAAAAAAATCAGATTCTTTAATTTCATTTTCAATTTTTCTTTCTCTCTCTCCCGTGCGTTCTCTCTCTCCTCGCGCACTCTCTCTTTCCTCGGTTCCTCTCTCTCCCCGACCCGATTCTCTCTCTCTTCGATTCTCCCAGCTCCGGCCACGGCAAGGGCCGGCACCGGTCCCGTTGGCTTCGTCTCGACGTTCCGGTCAAGACCTACCGGTTTTCCCCGCCGGAAAACCCGATCCCAGTCGACGGAAAAGACTGGTTCGAATCGGATTTTTCACGACGTTGCGCCGTCGTCTCCGCCGCCCTATCTCGGTGAAACAGGTGAGTTTCCTCCCTCCTTTTATCTGCTCTAGCTGCCTAGGGTTAAGTTTGGATCGATTTGGTGCGTAGAAACCGATTTGAAAACCTAGGTTTTTGGCCGGATTTCAAAGTGAAATTCCGGCCAGTTGCCGTCCAAATTGGACCTCCCCGTAGTTGAATGAAGTGATCCTTGCCTCGAGTAGTATCTAGGGTAGGAAGGGTGAGCTGTGGTGTGAAGTTTTTCCGTCGTCGGAATTTCTCTGCACACCCGCTAGCTGCCAGCGCGTGGACAAGTGTGGTGGAACTGCAAATTGTTCCAGTGTGATCCTTAGGTTTTCATGAGCGTGTAGGATTTCGCGGATCTCGATTCCGAGGTCGTTTGACTATCGAATAGATTATCGCATATTGTGCGTTTTCCGGGTTCGATATGTTCTGACCGTTGGATCGTTTTCAAATTGAAGTATGTTACTCTAGACAACCTTAGGATCGTGTAGGATTCGACAGATCGAAAAACGGAGGTCGTGGGTCCCGTGGGCCCGGTTGACCCGAATTGGGAAATGTGACCGTCGGTTGACCGAGTGTCTTCCGAAGCTGTTTCATCGTGCGAATTGGGTAGTTAGACCGTAGAACACGTCTTTCCTCGTACTCACTAGAAACCCGGGAAGCTATGGTTTTATTTTAAAGTTCTGTTTTGAAGCGCTTGATGTTCATCGCATTTTCTTATTCTGAATCAGGTACTCCGACCCAGCATACGCAGCAGGCGGGACCCTCTCAAGCTGTGTGGGGCTACTTGTGGGGGGGGTTTTCTTTTGAAACTCAGTATGATTTCATTCATGGAAATATGGCATATAGTTTTATTATATTTATCAAGAATTTATATACGCTCGAATGAAAGTTCGAGGTTTTTATAAAACTTATTATGATATTTGACTTTTGAGAAGCTATATTTACATGCGGCTATGCATGGGGTACTTGGTGGTTAATATGAGCTATGGAAAGGTAATGTTTGATCTGTTAATTGGAGTGCGTTAAGCACTAATTTATGTACCTCCCCTGATTTGAATTTGGTTACGGATATTGGTTACTTTTGAAATTATTAGAACTCAGAACATCCTTGAGGGGATGTTGCTGTGGACCCTGGATTTGGGGTAGTCTGCGCGCGTAGGACTGGTATTTCAGGCGTACAAGCTTTGACTGTGTCGGCTGTACGTGCTGGCTGAGAGTTAGTCCCCCAGTTGGACGGCTCGTTCCCTAGACACATGGTGAATTGAGGAATGACTCTGCCATGTGGACTAGTCAAACAGTCCCCCGGTTGGATTGTTTCCCTTGTACAATTAAATATTGGTTATATTTATATACTATTATTATGATTATTATTATGTTACATCATATTATTAGTATGTATGTATTTATATATATATGTGAATGTTCCTTCGTTCTATTTCTCGGTAAGCAAGCTGTGTGGGGCTACTTGTGGGGGGGGTTTTCTTTTGAAACTCAGTATGATTTCATTCATGGAAATATGGCATATAGTTTTATTATATTTATCAAGAATTTATATACGCTCGAATGAAAGTTCGAGGTTTTTAT